CAAAATCCACAGACTTATCACCTCTTAAATCTTATCCTAAGAGAGCTGCTTTGACTACAGTCACACACATACACACACACACATATACACACACACAAGCTAATGCTAGTCAGCTCCAAGACGGATTTGGACTTAGACTCTCTGGAATCAAAGACTGTATTCTGAAGAGAGTTAGAGAACACCTTCATTATTCTGAAACATACAGAGAGAATGGTGGTGGACACATCCCTTTGAACAGTCTCAAAAACAAAAAAATACAGCCAGGCGGTGATGGCACACAACTTTATTAATCCCAAAACTCAGGAGGCAGAGGCAGGTGGATCTCTGTGAGTTCAAGGACAGCCAGGGCTACACAGTGAAACCCTATCTGGAAACAAACAAACAGATAAACAAACAAACAAAACAAATACAATGTGAACTTTAAGAATCCAAAAACTAGCCAGGTGTGGTGGTATCTACCTTTAATCCCAACACTTGAGTAGCAGAAGCAGATAGATCTCTGAGTTCAAGACCAGCCTGATGCTCATAGGAAGTCCCAGGCCAGCCAAAGATATATAGTGAGATCCTGTGTCCAAGGAAAAAAAGGGAGAGTGCTGTGCTGCATGAATCTCAGAATCCCCAAAAGATGCTCTTTCTTTTTTTTTCATATTTGTGTAGAACTGGTGTCATTGGATTCAGACCCCTAAGCTGTTTCCGTGGTGGATTTCAACACAAGTTATTTATTTGCTTTGGCTTGAGATTGACCTAACCCTGGATAAGCAAACTGTAGCATAGTACACTGAAGGCTGTGAGGTTAGGGAGGCCCCTCTAACTCCAGCGCTGGGCAGGCAGGGACAAGTGGATGCCTGAAACTTGCTGGCCATCCAACCCAGCCAAGTAAGTGAGCTCCAGATTCATTCAAAGTCCTTGTCTCAGAAAGTAAGATGGAGGCCTGACAGCACAGCTAGCGGATAAAAGCAATTCGCTGCTAACATGGACAGTCTGAGTTCCGTGGAGCCCACACGATAGAAGAGCACTGACTCCCAAAAGTTATACTCTGACCTCACATATACGTGATGACCTCTGTATAGGAACACAGGCATAAAATAACTGAGTATAAAACATTTTAATACTAAGATAGAGAAGAGCTGAGGGAGACACCTGGCATGGGCGTCTAGACCCTACATGCCTCCGCATGTGCATGTGGACGCGCAGGCGAACATATACACCACACATACACATGCAAGAAGTTTAAATGACAAGGTGTTCACACAGCCTCTGTGAAAGGTGTGGCTTCTGGGGAATTCTAGTTCTCCAAGCGTATGAGACAAACCGCCCCCACTAAATAAGCCCACTGTGCACACCCACTCGCCAGACACAGAACCATCCTAATTGTCTGAGTGAACGACGTGAAAGATGTTGCCCTCTCTTCGATAAAACAGTCTTTACGGGATCCGTGCCGTTCAAACAGTCTCGCTGTGATCCCCGCCACATTAGAAAGAGAAGGCTCCCCTGAGGAGGTGAGACACCTGAGCCTCTCAGGCCCCTTAGTACCTAAGAAGAGCTGACTTAGGTGGGTCTGGTCCCCGCGCAGTGACTGCTCTGGGGGTTCCTGAGGGAAGAGTGAACCCCACCTCAGGTAGGTCAGGAAGCAAAGCTCTTCCTTCTGGGCTGGCTCTGGACTGCATTGCTTTGTTCTGTGGGAGTGAAAGTTTCCTCAGGAGAAAGAATTAATAGACTCAGGTTGTTTCAGTTTCAGAAGTAAACTCAAGGAAATTGGAGTTTCTACGCCTTAGTTTCCTGGCGAGAAAACGAAAACAGTAAGGTGCATGCCTTCCCAGGCACAAGAAGGCAGGTGTTAAAAATATAAAAGATGTTCACCTTTCTGCAGGATAGCTGTGTGTAAAATAGTATGCGTCTATTAAGATTTATGAAAACATAATGTTAACCACTCCAGAGATTAATAAGCAGAATTATCATTCAGTCCTTATGAAGATGCAGTGGCCAAGTGCATTTGTTGCCAAGAAGTGTAAGAATCCTGCTTCACTGTCTCAACATTTAGTTCTGAGCAGAGAGATGCCGAGAGGCAGATAAGAAGCTTGCAGTTTGTTGTTAGGAAGCTTTCCAGCTGGCAGCTTGCTTCCTTTTTATTTTTATGAATGGCTGTAGTATTATGATTTGGCCTGCATTTTTTGACCGGAGCCATTCATAAAAAACAAAACAAAACAAAATAACAACAAGAACAGCAGCAGCAGCAACAACAACAAAACTTTCTGGGCACAGTCTGGAGCCATCGGGTGCCAGAGGCTGGGAAAACATCCCGGCAGCCTTAACCACAAACAGCACTGAAAGCATTCAAGGGTCTGTTTGTTTGGTGGCCTGAGAAGTATGAGGTGCTGTGCCTAAGTGTAGCTGGGAGAACTTCTGTGACATGAACTAGGCTGGAAGCCAAGGCTGGCACAAGTTCAGACATTGTCTTTGCCCTCACTGAAGTGTCAGGACCTAATTCATGGAAAATTGGGTGAGCTGGCAGCCCTTTCAGAGAGTTTCATTGAGACACACTGTGCAAGATTCGCATGAATGGAGCTCCTCAGCCAAAAAAGGAGGGGGCTGAAGCAGTCGGAGCCAGACAGCCTGCAAGAAAGTGTGCAGATTAGGAACAGTTTGGAAATAACAGGGTACAGGTGTAAGCGGCAGGAGCAATGAGGAAGAAAGGCGCTCTCTTTGTAAACGAGGCCTTTTGAAAATGAATACTTTCGCAGCACACACTTTTGAATCCTAAGAGGCAGGAATCTCTGTGCTTCCTGGGTTCAAGTCTGTCTGGAAAAAAACATTCTCTCAAAAACTGGGCCTTGATGATGAGGTTGTCTCTACTGTGGTTTAATTCATGAGGCAGAGTTTTTGTTGTTGTTTTTTGGTAAGTAAAAATATCTTGTCAATTTCTCCTTTTTTTTTTTTTAATCTCATCCATCTTTTAAAAAATACTCTGCTGGTTTTATATAGTATTTTCAGTATCCAAGAAAACATCACTGTATCACAGACATTCTATGTTCCAGTCCTGTGCTTCTGAAGGACTGTAGCAATTTTATTTCTTTCACATGAATCTCTGAATCAAGGTGGCCCAGTTATATGTGCAAACTTAATAGCATTCGTAGGGCTTATAATCAAACATAAACATGTCACAAATCAGTCTATCAAAGGTAAGAGCTTTAGATCTACCTTTTGAAGCGCTGACAAATAGCAATCACCTCTGGATCTTTACTGGAAAATTAATTTAGGCTGCAGAAAGATCTCACAAGTTTCACTCAAAAGAGTACTGGCCTACCAGTACAGGTAAATAAATGGATGTAGATATGAAAACAAATCTTCCTAGGATACCATCACAAAAGTGAATGGATCCACAGAACAGGAGAAAATGTTTGCAAACTGTAGAGCTGATAAAGGAATATATCCAGAGCATTAGAAGGGACCTTGGGTCTTGTCTTATTTAGGGTTTCTGTTGCTATGGTGAAACACCATGACCAAAAGCAACTTGGGGAGGAAAGGGTTTACTTGGCGCTTGCTTCCACACCACTGTTCATCATCAAAGGAAGTCAACAGGAACTCAAACAGGGAAGGACCTGGAGGCAGGAGCTGATGCAGAGGCCATGGAGAGTGCTGCTTACTGGCTTGCTCCTCATGGCTTGCTCATCCTATTTTCTTAGAGAACCCAGGACCAAAGGCCCAGGGATGGCACCACCCACACTGGGCTGGGCCTGCCAATCAATCACTAGTTAAGAAAATGTTCTACAGGCATTCTTACAGCCTGATATCTTGGAGGCATTTTTTTTTTCAGTTGAGGTTTCCTCCTCTCAAATGACTATCCTGTGTCAAGTTGACATAAAACTAACCAGTACAAGTCTCAATGTTGAAAAAAAAAGTTGTAGGTTTTTTGTTTGTTTTTAGTGAGCAAAGCATTTGAATACGCATTTCTCTACAGAAGCTAAACCAACTAATGAACATTGAGATAGGTAAAATGTGGTAAGGTCAAGGAAAGCAATTGACAGTTGATACTGTAGGAGTTATTTTCCCAGTTTTGTTACAAAAGATCTGACAAAGGCCACTCAAGACAGAAAGGGTGTAGTTGGGCTTACAGTTCAGGGAGACCCAGTCCACAGTGGTGGGAGGCGATGGCGGCTGGAGCCTGAGTCAGCTGGCCACCTTACTTTCTCTGTTTGAAAGTGGAGAGTGATGGGTGTGGTTGCTCAACTTCTTCCTTTTCGTTCAGTCTGGAACCCCGATAACGGGATGGTGCTGCCACTTTCCAGGTGGGCCCTCTCTCTTCAGTTAAACCTTTTTCACAGACACACCCAGGGCTGCATTTCTGTGGTGACTGCAAATCCAATTAAGTTTAGGTATTACCATATGAATTACCCTCCTCACCTGGAGACTAAATGTGCAGAGACACCAGACCCCTTTCATAATTCCTCCGCTTTGAGAAGTCTGAAACAAGCCAATTTACATAACAGAAGGTAGATGGATGGTAAATTAAGCTCAAGAGGTGCACTAAGGAGGTGGAAAATGATGGGGAGTGGTCACAAATTTAGATACAGTATTTCATTTATGGAAAATGGAAATGTTGCGAAATTAGGTTGTGGTGCTGATTTTGCACCTGCTGTAGAGTAACGCTTTCTCTGAATTAACCACTTTAAACGGGAGAATTGTGTGGTTTGTAAGTTTTATATTGGTAAAGAGTTTTTCCACTCTTCGAGTTTTATGATATGCAGATGAAAAACGCAAGTTATTCCTGTAGCAAGTTTATTTCAAGCCAAGTCCTGAAGAACCTGTATTGCCTTTCCTTCACAAGTGGAGATTATGAATAAACACTCTTTAACTTGGGTGAACTTTTTGAATACTGAATTTTCTCCTTTGCTGTTTGGATCCACATTCACACTTAAAGCCGTGAATAGTGAGTATTTTCCCTCTATATGTTTCCTTGTAAAATATAACACTTCTTTTTTTTTTTTTTGTTTCTTCCTTAGCCACAACAAGTCGTTCAGAAGAAGCCTGCTCAGGTATGACATGATCCCTTATGCTTTGTCTTCCCAAAAAAACTCAAGTAAAACATGAACTGAAAAAGGGTTCCAAGCCTTCTATTGGCAGTTTCTTGTTTTGATTATGTCAATGTTGAAAAAGGCTGTATCTTCCAGAACCAGGAGTGTGTGTGTGTGTGTGTGTGTGTGTGTGTGTACTCTGAGATAATATTATTAAAAACCCCAAACATGGCCAGAGAGAAAGGCACTTGCTGACAACATGATGAGGTGAGTTCAAATCCAGAGTCCATATGTTGGAAAGAGAGAGCCAACTCCTGTAAAATTTTCTCTGACCTCCACTCACATGCCAGGGTGGTCATGTGTGTGTGTGGTAATATACTGAAACAACAACAACAAACATCAAAGTCTTCATTATAAAAGAAGCATCAGTAACATGCAAAATAAAACTGTGTCGGGGCTGTAAATAGAAATTTAATTTCATTATATGTTTTACCAATTCTTTCTTTTTTTATTTTTGGTTTGTATTCTGTTTTGAGAAAAGGTCTTTCTGTGTAGTCCGGGTTGTCCTGGAACTCACTGTGGAGACCAGGCTGGCCTCAAACTCGTAGAGATCCTCCTGCTTCTTTGTCCTAAGTGCTGGGATTAAAGGCGTGCACCACTATTCCCTACTTGCTTTACCAATTCTTAAATACTAAATTTTGACTTTTCCTCCTGACTCTCCGTAATACTTTGGTTTGATACAGGAATTGCTGGGTCTAAAATTATTCTTGATGTATGACTGAAAACAGCTGTTCATTGAATTGTTCTGCAAATATTTGGTATCCTAAAACACCTCCAGTGAGACCGATCTACTGGAAGTTATATTAATGTTTCCCATTCCTAAACTCTCAGGTCTTGCTTGAAACATCATAACTGCAATATTAAATTAAAAGTGACCTTACTTCTTTTGGTCCTTTAAGCCTGGAGTTTCTTGTCCAAGCTACAGTTTATACATAGGAGCATAAAATTCATACTTGTTGAAGAAACAGATTTTGAAGAAAACATAACTTATGTATAAACTAATCAGAGTTTCCAAAAATGTAAAGAATAAGAATGTTCAGGGTTGGGAATATAACTCTAATGGTAGAGGCTTGCCTAACATTCGTGAGGACCGGTGTTCAATTCTCAGCACCAAAAACAAAACAAAGGAGGCCCTGGTGTTTTCTTGGATTTGAACAGACATTCAGGACATGTAGGTAGAACCTATTAAAGTGAATCTCTAAATAGTGTCATGAGGCGTGAAGTTCTCTTTGACGTAGTCATGTAGACCTACTCTGTGTAATTAAAAGTAGCCATAGAAATGATGTTTTCCCTTGAGCTTTCTTTGAAAAGAATATTGCTTTGCATAGGGGAGAAAAAAAAAAACATGCAGCAGCCCTAACTTATGTACTCCTTTCTAAAAATACTGCTTGGGATAACACTGAAGTTTTAATATGCATATAAGGATACAGGGGACGTGAATCAAATAAATACATGTATTATAACTATGATAAATGCAAAGCTCTGTTAGAACAGCAACAAAAATCATGTTGTTGTTCCCAAACCTAAAAGGCCAGCCTGGCATGGGCAATACTGAAGATACTCACTGTTTTTAAGAAATATTTAACTGAGCAAAATGTTAAGTAAGCACTCGATGTGATGGCCTCTTATCCTTCATGGGGAAGAAAAGCAAGAGACGGAGAGTGAGCAGTGCTGTGCATTTGAGTCACAGGGTACTACCCCAGGGCTCAGCATTCCACCATGGTCTGTAGCTTAATAATCATTTGTGGAGTGTGAGTATTGATTTCAACTCTACTCTTTGTATTGTGGGGAAGACGCACCGAACCAAAAGTGATGCATTAGAGAATTATGAAATGCAGTGGTTTCTACTTCAGCTGTGCTTAGAGAGGGTTCATATACATGCACGAAACACTCTGTGAGCCAGTTGTGAGCATCTCTTTCAAAATCTGTGGCTCATTATGTGTGTGTCTATTCCATGGAAAGCAGCATAAGACCATTGTTTTCCTAGAGAGCAAGTCTTGAGCTACTTACCTACAGCCACCGGCCCCACATGCCACCCACTTTGCTTTCCTTGGTTTGAAGACCTTTGCATAAACATCTTCTGTGACTTCTCAATGTGATCTTAATGGGCATTCAAGAATGAACATACTCAATGAAGAAAGAGAAAAACATTTGTCTAATAAGCAAATGGTCACAAAATGTCAAAGCATATGTGCCCCAAAGGGGACACAGATAATGAGTAGGTCATAAGTTATTATGGGACAAATTCCTTAAGAGCTGAACTCCATGATTTTCCTTGATTTTGTTGTTACTGTCTAATTACAGAAGAGAAAGTAGAGACATAGGAGATGTCATAGGTGAAATAAATGCCATGTACAGGGGTAGAATATGATACAGTATATGTATATATTAAATATAACATATAAGTAGAATAGTGTATATACTATTAAACATAATAGTGTATACTATATACATAATAATGTATATAATAAATAATATAATATGTTATTCTACTATATATGGTTATATATATATATATATATATTTCATATCCAGACCATTGCTTTCCTAGAAAGCAAGTTTTGAAACACCGACAACTTGGTTTAAAGACCTTTACATAAGTATTTTTCGTTCACTCTCTCTGTGACCCTAATGGGCAGCCAGGAACGAACATACTCAGTGAAGAAAGAAAGAAAAAAAAAACCACAGCAAGATGTTTGGACACGATCTATATTTTACCATATATAGTAGTATAGTATATAATATTTTACCATATATAGAATAGTATATAATACATATACGGCATATACATCATCACAGGTAGAAATCGTAAATGTGTCTGCGAAGGATTATAAAGCACCAAGGATAATATAAGTGAAATCGCACACATGCGGACACATTCACACACATGCCAGCGAGTCAGGAATCACGAGTCTGGAAGGAGTCACAAAAGAGGCAATGGCCGTCACTGATCTGTCTGTCTGTCTTTACAGATCTTGATCAAGTTTTCCCTTTAACGGAAAGCAGCTCAGACAGAATTAGAGGGAAAGTGAGCACAGCTCATTGGGCGACCTAATTTCCATTGCCTGGAAGCACAGTGATGAATTATCTAAACGCAGGCTGCATGGAAGTTTGTGGAGGGTAGCGTAAATTCTACAGAGCAGAAGACTCTCTTCTCTTCCCATCTGTTTCTCTCAAAATACCCTCCCAGGGCTGGGGAGACAGCTCGGTGCTTAATACTGGCTGTTCTTCCAAAGGCCCTGAGTTCAATTCCCAGCAACCACGTGATGGTTCACAACCATCTATAATGAGATCTGGTGTGCAGGTGTACATGCAGGCAGAACACTGTATACATGGTAAATAAATAAATATTTTAAGAAAATACCCTCCCAGTTGGCTTGTCCCTGAGGCAGTCTGGATTGGCCCAAGCTCATGAGGTCCTTTCTTCATCAAAGCACCTGACAACTAGCACAATTAAGTGTGTCATGTGTAAAGCAAAGAGACAGCCATGCATGTGACTCAAGTGTTTCCGTCTGGCTATTTCTAGGCTTTGTCCCGTGTATCCATCTGGGAAAAATGCATAACAATGACTCTTCCCTAATTTTCAAGAAAAGCATAAGAAATATATAATTATGTAAATATCAAAAGAGGATATTTTGCTAGAACTAATTTTTGGCTGCTTGGTTTCTCATATCTCAACATTTATGTATTGAAAATTTTTTTTAGAGTTTTTATTAATTCAAAATGTCCCCCTTTTATCTCGTGTTTTCACTGCACGTTTTGGGGGTTTTGGTTTTTGAGGGGTTATTGTTGTCATTGTTTTTCTAAGACAGGGTTTCTCTGTCTATCCCTGGCTGTCTGGAACTCTCTTTGTAGACCAGGCTGGCCTTGAACTTACAGAGATTTACCAGCCTCCGCCTCCCTAGTGCTGAGATTAAAGCTGTGTATCACCACACCCAGGCCTCACTGCATGTTTTTAAAATAAGATTTTTTTTTTTAAGTTGAGGGATATTGTATAGCAATTGCTAAATCCTATCATTAAGGTGAAAGCCATTAGAATCACCTTCTTTCTGTGTATGTCACGTGAATATCAACGCACACATACACTGGCTCGGTGGTAAAGAATGCTGACACACCCTGGGATAGAAAGCATCATAACGTCACTCTGAGGGACAAACTCAGCACAATGCCAAGTTCAACATCTGGTGTTTGTATTTATAAGTGTGTTTATAAAAGTTTAAGGCAAGCTCTGTTATGGAGGGGGTTGCATTTGGAAAATGTACCAGGTGCCACCATCGCAAACCTCCAGTCTGTCCCAGAATTCTTCTGGGCAGAAACTCATCCGTTCCAGTCTGAAGAGGGAACATGTGTGCAGTGCTCACACTGGCTCTCCTTAATTTCTCAAACCACAGACAGCACGGCTTAATGGACATCTCACTCTGCGCTTTACAGTGCTAAAGTAAGCAAGAAGTAGAAACTAGCTAATTAGAAATGACCAAATTCTTCAGCAAGCTGAAGTAACTCCTCACTGCATACATTCAAAACTCAGTGTTATAAGAAAAGGGTGATAGATTTTTTTTTCTCCAAGTTATCATTACTGACCCAAGGAATTTTTTTCCCCTCAAGTTTTTGTTTTTAACCCTGCCTTCTGAGAAGGCCCTGCTAGCCTGCCTATGTCTTATTGTTTCTCAAAGTTTCCATTTTCATGTGTTGAATGGAGATTAAAAGTGGCCCCTTATATATAATCCAGACATTTTGCTCATCAAAGGGAAAGCAGGGTTTTTTGTTTTGTTTTGTTTTGTTTCAATTCTCACAACATCCTGCCGTTGAGTGCACATGGTCCATTTGAAAGCTTTCCCTGAGTTATTAAAACGGGAATAAACCTTCTCTTCCCAATTTCCCATCAAGAGAATTGAAAACTGCCAGTTTCTGAAAGGCTTGAAACCGAGCGTTCCATGTCAAGACAGGCTTCTTACCTGCAA